CGGGTGGTGGCGGCGGCGGAGGCGGCAGCGGCACGGGGGAGGCACAGGGGGGAGGGGGGAGGGAGGCAGGAGGGGGAGTGTCACTCCGGCCCTCGAGCCCGAGTGAACACGCACGTACCCCAAGAAGAGAGGGGCCGCGCTGGTCGATTGGTCGGCCGGGTCTGTCGTGGGGATCTGAATATTCCGAGCGGCAAGAGAAAGGAAAAAAAAGAGACCAGGGTCCCGGCAGACGGGGATGAAAGCATCCGCGGCGCCCCGGCACGCCGGGTGGTATCTCGCCCGACGGATGAACCGAGAGACGCAGGGTGCGAGAGAGAGAGAGAGAGAGAGGGAGGGAGAGAGAGAGAGAGCCACAGACATGTCTGCGTTGTGAACGCCGAGCCGCCGGCCTGCGCAGGTGACACGGCCTCCAGAGCGCGCTGCTCGAGCCAGTGCGGACGCTCACCACACGAACGCCGGGGGAAGACCATGGCGGCGGCGGCGGCGGTGGCGCCGACGGCGTGTCCGTACGCATGGGGAGCACCAAAGCGAGGACTGTTGGCATCTGGCCCCTCGCCCGCGGGCGCGGGCCGGACCAAATTAATAGGGGGGGCGGGGGAGGGGAGATTATCCCCCTCAACCGTCAGCCGGTCCGGGGCGGCGCGGAGGCTCACGCTCCCCGCGGCCTTCAGCGCGTGCGCGTGTATTTCCCCGCACCCGGGGAGGGGGGGGGGGCCTGGTGTGAAATGTGAAAATCCGCGCATGCCTTCCCTCCGGACCCCGCCCTCAGAGAGTAGGCTGGGCATATGTTGTCGGCTTCGGGCACACACCACCACGCACTCAGGGCCCCGGCGCACAGATGGCTAGTCCAAAGACATTCCTGGCCCCGATGCTGCGCATCGGTCGGCCTCCACCCGGCGGTCGACCCGGCCTCTGCCCCGCGGCGCCATCTCGCACACCCTGCTCATGCATGTGGGGCCCATGGCAAGGCCCGCCCCCCCCCCCCCGCTCATCCCGACGGTGTGCGCCGGTACGGTCGTGCCCCTTCATGTGCACCTGGCAGCGCAGAACCGGGGATCCCCCCAAGGCGTCGCCTCCGCCGACGGAGACTTCCCCCACCTTGGGGCTGGGTGACCATCAGCACCCCGGCCCTGGGCGGGCTTCGTCAGACCTATCCTCGCACACAACACACCCACACGCAAGCCCAGACACCTGCACCTCCAGACACACACACCTCCAGACACACGCACGCACAGGCAAACACGTCCTCCCCCTGCCCCCCACCCCCTGCCCCACCCCCAAGCGCGACCTGCTGGCCAACGTCCGGGGCCACGGTCCCCGGCGGCTGGCACCGACGATCCTTGGCAGCATGCGTGGCCCGCCCCCCCGGGCCCCACCCCTCGACGGGCACAGGGGCCGGGACACACTTGCGCCAAGCCCCCCCCCCCCTCCGCGCCCCCGCCCCCAGACAAGAGTCCTTGTCCAACACACCGCCGCCAGCACGCACCCCAATATAGCGCGCCCAAGCGCGTGAGCCTCAGAGGGCGCGTGTACACGCGCCCGGCGACTGGCACAAGAATCGACTGGATTAGAATGGGTGGACGTATCGTTGGCACTCGAGCCCCTTCCGCTTTTTGGGAGCCGCTGCTGGGCAAGGAGAACGTCCCCTCCCCCGCCCCCGCCCCCACCAATGCGCCCCATTCACCCTTACAACAACAACAACAACAACATCCGACCAGTGTGGGCCTTCGCCAGTCGATTCCTCACCAGGGCGGTGCGTCACATGGAGGGAAGAGGGCAGGGAGAGGGAGAAAGAGAAGGAAAGGAGAAAAGCAGCAGGAGCGGAAGAGGAAGAAGAGGGAGAAAAGGCCCAAGAAGGATGGCCAGGGGAACGTTTTGCCTGGAGCCGCCATGGACTTTTACTCCAACGCGCGCTCGCTCTCTCTCTCTCTCTCTCTCTCTCCCTTGTTCACTCTCTCAGGAGTCCTCCTCTAGACGGAAATCCAGGTCAGACGACAGTAGGCATGTCGCCCCCTCGGGCTCCCCGGCGTCCAGGAAGCCCGTGTAGTATGTCCCAAGGTCCAAACAGTCCAGCGCCTTCCCGGCAATGGGATGGGGATGCAGCGCTGTCTGTGGAGAGTGCCAGGCCAGGGTCGGCGCCTTAGCCGACCTCCACATAGGCCGAGCATTCTGCAACTCACCCAGCGCCTGGAGCAAGAAGACGATCGCGTTCCCAACCAGATGCCCGGAGGCCGGGGCCCCGGTCCCATCGTAGTTGGCCATGGCCTGAGCGCAGGAAATAAGCAACCGGTCCAAGGCATCCGCATCATCCACATTAAACACATCGTCCTCGTCGCTCTCGTTGTCCTCGTCGGCCACATCGTCCTCGTCGGCCACACCGTCGTCAGTCCGGTTGTGCAGGGTACGCACCACCGGCGCCAGGACCATGGCCGCCAATTGAGCCAGATGTACCCGGCCATTGAGCGTGGCCACTTGGCCCGGCTGTGACACAACCGTACCATCCCGAAGCGTGCATGCCTGCAGGGAGTTCCCCCAGCCAGCCAGCCACTGCCACAGGAGGGCGTCCGCGCTGGTCAGCGGCGAGGGTCCAGCCAGCCCCGACCCCTCGCCATATTTCGCATCCTCGATCATTTCCAGCAACATGCCATCCAGATGGCACACCACCGACAGATACAGGTGCGTCAGGGCCAGGGTCTTGCGGGCAGTCGGGGACTCGGTGGAATCGGCCGGATTGCCACTCGGCAAATCCTGGACCGCACTTTTGCCCGCCTCCCGACGCAGGATCGCGGCCATGCGCTCCGGCGGCCCGAGAGGACCGCACCCGGTCAGCCCCCGCGACACGAGGTAATCCACCAACGGATGGCCATCGGCGAAGGCCTCGAGCGCCGGGCCCTCGGCACCGGCGGCACCGGCGGCCCCGGCCTCCGGCCGCTCCATGCCAAACACATCGACCAGCAGCCAGAGCGGCGACCAAACGGCCCGCGGCGAATGCTGGCCCACGATCCCCTGCAGCAAAGCCCACAGGAGGGACACCGGCGCCGGGGGAGGCACCCCAGCCGGCAGACGCAGGAACGCGCACTCCTGGGCCGAAACCGGCTCCACCAGCGGCTTGGATGTGTGGCAGATCGACAGCACGGTCGCCAAGAAACTGGCCACCGCACTGGTCCGCTCCAAGGTCGGCGTCCCTTCAAGGACCAAAGCCTACATGCGTGCATGGTGATCGGAAAGGAGGCAGCCCACCCGAGCAAGGGCACAGCGGGCGCCATTCGAGGGCATCCATTGGCCCGGGAGCAGGGAGGGGGGAGGGGCGCGCGGGGCAGAGGGACGAATGTCAGCGGGGAAAGGAAACCCCCCCGGGAGAAGCAACAGCAGGGCAGACACGCCCTGGCATGCCGGGAGGGGGGGAATCCCAAAGACAGCGGCACACGCACCACAGACTTGACAACGATCGACGAGAAGACGGACAGCAGGTGGTTCAGGTCGATGCTCTGGTCCGGGTCTTCGGACGAACTGTCGCCCACGTGCACCAGTTCCGCATACAAGTCCAGTGCCACCTGGTAAATATCCTGCACCGAGGTGGAGAGGCGGTTCAGGCCGAGGGTGATGTGCGACATGCAATCCGCGGACACCGGCCCGAGGGAGAAGATGTGCTGCAAGGGGAGAGTGATGCGTCAGCGGGAAGGCGCGCTCCAAGTACAAGAGGCACCGCTAAGCCAACAGCGAAAGTACCTTGCTCAGGCGGCTCAACGTTGCCAGATACTGCGGCAGGCTCGGCAAACCAAGTTCCGGCTTGCCCAGCAGCGACTCCTCGAAGGAGTCACCCTTCCCAGCCGACCCTGATGACTGGGTGTCCTGATTCGGCCAGGCTCCAGACAACGCGTCGCCAGCTGGCAGAGACCCATTACCAGCCTCCGGGCAAGTGCCAACAACCGGCCCGCCATCAGAAGCAGGCCCCATCCCGGTGGGAGCCCCAGTGTCAGGAGAGGCGGCCACGGTGGTGCCGGCATCGATGTCCACAGCGCTCCCGGCGCTGAGCTCGGCATCAACAGCGGAGGCAAAGGGAGAGCCGGCACCGGCGGCCTCAGGGACGGGTGTGACTGGCGGGGGAGTCGGTGGCCGCGGCACGGGTTGCAAGCACGAAAGCATCGGCTCGTCCAGGATGTCCTGCATCGACCGAGCCAGGCTCGACTGCGGGCGTGTCTGCCTGAGGGACTCGAACAGCGAGGGATTGGCCTGCTCGCAGGAGGGCGAGCGGGGAAACAGAGGAGCAGACGGGGGGGGGGGGGGGGGGGGGGGGGGGGGGGGGGGGGGGGGGGGGGGGGGGGGGGGGGGGGGATCCCAGCGGGGAGGTTGTCAGGCCGGGGGCCGAGGCAGCACACAAGGCCAGGACGATTGGTAGCACCACCTGGCCGGGCACATAATCAGCGACGCACCGGAGGAACCGACGGAGACAGGCTCGAGTAGCTTGTCAGAAAGTCCACCAGGCTCCCATGCCTGACGGGCGGGTGGGCAGCGCCGGGGAACAAGGCAGGAAGGGAAACCTCAAGTCAGATACGGGAGCATTGGCAGCGGCACCGCACGACGGCCGGGCGATGGAGGGGG